CAGTGGAGGGAGCGCAGGCCTGCTGGCACACTCTCCATCTGCATCAGACACCGGGGGAGGAGCTGCGTCCGGCGGCTCCTGAGAATCTGTCTCTGCTGGTTTCTGTCTCAGGTGCGCTCCTCCTCCTGGAGGTGGCGAAGTTTCAGGCTCCTGAACTCAGCCCACGGGCGTGAGCTTCCAGTTCCAGGGACAGAATCTGGTTCTGAGAAGAGATCTTTCCAGCTTTTCTTTAGATCTTTGCGTCACTTTCCATAGCTCCAGGTCCCTTTTGGACACGTCCAGGACACAGGCACTCTGGGCTTTGCCTCCGTCTAGCCCAGGAAACACTCCGTCGGAGCTTACATTTCCCCAGGACTGGTGCTGAACGCTCCAGGGTGTTCCTTGTCTTTCTGTGCAGAATGTCTTCTTTCACTGTTGAATAAGCCCATGAAAAACAAGAGAACTGTGGCCGTGACACCTTCCACGACACCCTCCACCGTATCCTAAAACTCAGGGGAGGGGCAAGACTTGGTCTCACATAGAAAAGTTCTCCTGTCCCAAAACCCCATAGCGTCCCTGGGGTTCACTGTATCCCAGCCCAGGTCCCTAGGCCAGTGAAGGACCCCTGTGGCCACCACGGCCGGCTGGGCCACACACTGAGGCCAGGGTTCTGCCCAGAACCCAACCTGGTAACCAGGGTAGATCATCGCTACAGGGGGTGGGGACGGGGCAGCCACCCAGTCACACAGCCTCAGCTCCACCTGCTACTGAAGTGGTCCCAGAGGCTCCACCCTGTCCCGTGCCCACAATGTCCCCTCTGCCTGGAGAGCCCTCCCTTAAACTGCCCATGTGGTGAGCACACACCCACACGTAACCCCTGGGCGCCTCAGTCTGTGTCCCAAGGAGGGTGCTCAGTGCTCAGTGCTCCATGCATGCCGTGGAAGGCGAGAAGGAAGGAGATGAGGAGAGGTGGAGGGGAAGGAAGAACACAGCCATCATGTGCCATTCCTTAGAAGTTACACATTATTGCTCTCTTGTCAGTTGCTTCCCAAGGACAGCTTAAAATTCCTGTTCACGGGAACATCTCAATTATGTAATTTTATATATAAATATATATTCTATAGTTTTAAATATTAAACAAATTGAAATAAATGCCCATCTACACCCTGATAATATCAGGTGACCACATAACAGTTGTAGCAGTCACCACTTTAGACTATGATGAAAACCTCTAAATAACAGATGATTTCCCGTAACTGCCTGTCGGTGACCCTGGGACCACGAGAAACCTGAAGGAAAACAATCGTGTGGGAATTTTAGAGCTCCCTCTCCAGGAAGTTTTGGATCTAGAAGCCACTGGAACCAACATGCAGCTCAGAGAGTTAGAAATAGAGAATGAAACACAAGGAATAAAGAGAAATAGGAGTGGGATAGAAACAAATGAAAATACCTTAGAATGCAGAAGCTCCGAATGCTTTGATGCCCAAACGCAGGAGCCCATGACAAGACGCTGCTCCTCTGCCCTCCTGCCCTCCGCAGGCCTGGGCATGGCCGCTTCACGCACAGGGCTGGGAGCAAAGCATTCCCACCTTATCTTGGTGGAACCAGGCAAACATGCTGCTTAAATTTCAAGAACAGTGAACCAAAGTTCCCTCCCGAAAGCTTGTACCAGGCCGCACTACCTGTTTGGGAAAGCCCGTTTCCTCACATCTGCCTGCCCTGGGCTCGAAGAGCGCACTTCTTTGGTTTGTTTGTTTCAGCCACCTGTTTGCCAAAATACAATATTGTTGTGTGTTTTTTTAAGTTTTTACCTCTTGGAACACGAGTTTAGCAACTCTCATGTCTCCTGTTTCCTCCCCCGTCTCTCACATTATATCTGTTTACCCCTCTCCTTATGCCGTCCATTGGCTACCGAGGTTTCTGCTGCTTTCTTACGGATTGTGCTTCATTCAGTTGGACATTGTAAATATCTCCTATTCTGTCTCTTACCTTTTTACCCTTGTGTTTTTTCCCCTGATGCTTAATAACTTCATTTTTATGAAATCCGATTTGGTGAGTTATTTCCCTTATGACTTCTGAATGCACACTGTCCTGTGAGTTCCATCAAATGGTCTGACACAACCTCCTGCATCGGAGGGGACTTCCAGCTCTACCGTAGATGCGGATTGCTGGGGCTGTAAACTCTGTTCGCTCTGCTTGCTTTCTCCTTCCCATTGAATTATTTACCTATCCATGTCTCTGCATCTAGGGCTGACATGAACTGAACTCAGAACACAGCCCGTCTCCCTTATTTTTCTAAAACTTCTTTCATGAAAATGTCACGTAAGAAGGAAACAGACCTCACAGTCCAGGGACCAGGTGTCTATCACGCTGCCTTATTTGCCAGCTTTACCGAGATATAATTGGCATATAATGTATACATTTAAGGTGTACAATGTGCTGATTTGATACACTTATATATTGCTGTTATGCAAAGAACTGAGGTCTGAGAAAACCTCAGCATATTGTTTGTCGATTCCAAAGAAGTGACCTGAAGGACTGGCTGTGAAAGACATGGATTATTAGGACTTACATGCACACCGGCGGTGGCCAACCAGTGAAATTCTCCACCAAGTCCCATCCGGCCTACAGATGGGCCACACGGTGGTGGGGGTGGGGGTGGGGGAGCAGCCAGTGAAATTTTACTGCAACCCAGACTTTCCAAATACAAGGTTATATAGAGTACAGAAAACAAAGCAAAACAGGGCATGCAGGGGGAGGGGGGACGTGCTGGCGTACAGGCTGTGTGAGATCAAAACGCTAGCTATTTCCCTGCAGCTGTTTACAGTCCAGGCTCATATCCGAGAACAGTTTCTCCCTTGGCTGAGGAGCTGGCCAGGCTCCTAAGGTTGGTCCCACAGTCTGCTTACAGTTGGCCTTCAACATACTCCCACAGGGTGGGAGGGGGCCTTGGAGCTTGGGAAGGGGCCCATGTTCCCATTTACCATACAGCTGTAAAATGATTACCACCAAAGCATGAGCTAACACCTCCATCATGTCACATAATTAGTATTTTTTTCTTTGTGGTAAAAAAATTTAAGATTGATTTTCTTAGCAACTTTCAAGTATGTAATACAGTATTATTAGCTATAATCACCATGATGTTCAATGGATTCCCAGAACCTCTTCATCTTTTAACTGGAAGTTTGTACTCTTTGACCAACCATTAGGCAAATGGTTTCTGGTACTTGATGTGACATGGAATGGAGTAGAAAAGGCAGCTTATCAAGTAAGGGGCTTTTCAGAAACAGAAATGTCTTCTGAAACCTACAGGATGAGCTGGAGCACCCATCAAAGACAGGAGAAGAGTATTACCCACAATAGCATATGCAAAGGTCCTGAGGCAGGAATAGGTCCTGTTTGGGGAAGCCAAAGAAGACAGGGAGTCTGGAATGAGGGGAGGAGATGGAGCCCAGAATGATGGTAAACTGATGGGCAATGGACAGGAACATGGGGTAGTCACAGCTTAGTCATGTCCCTTGAACTTTATTCAGACTGTATTGGAGGTTCTAAAGGATTACAATTGGGGTGGGGAAAATGGCCATATTTACCTTTTCTTAAAGGCTTTGCCCTCTCCCAAGTCACCAATGACCTCCGCAAGGTGGAAGTCAAAGGACACTCTGCGACCTCACACGTCTAAGCCACCGGCACCATTTCACACAGGTGGCCCCTCCCTCATCCTGGAGACCCTCCCGCCTGCAGCTCCCTCCTCCTCTCTGCCACATCCCGAGGTCTTTTCTGTGCGTCTGCCCTGCCTGGCACCCTGGGTCAGCCTCTCAGTGTCAGGGTCTCGCCAAAGCCCCCTCGCCCAGGCTTTGCCTCAGCCTGGACCATGCGTCTCTCCAGAGCTGACTCCTCTCCCCACCGCGTGCTTGTAAGAAGCAGGGCAGGTCCCACCTCCGTGCCTGCTGTGTCCCAGCCCCCAGGACCACACCCAGGGGCTGCTGCAGTGACACCCTCCAACCAAAAAGCCGCCTGGGAATTCTCGCACAGAGCGTGTGAGAGGGAAACGAGCACCCGTCTGAAGGGCTGGCTCCTCTCTGCCGACCAAGCCCTGCACCCGCTCCGCTCAGCCGACCAGCCGAGGCGGCCACGCTGCTCCTGCCGGGCTCCTGCCGCCCCGGGCCGGGGGCAGCGCGGGACGGTGGCCGGGCGCCCGGGTGCATTCCCAGCCCTCCTCGGGCCTCAGGCTCTCCGCAGGGCACGGGGTTCCCCGGAATGTCTGCCTCGGTGGCATGTGCTCTGGCATGAATAGGGGGCAGTGATAGCACGGTGGCTGGTGGGTGAGGAAACGTCAGTCTATGCTGATGGCCCCGCATGGCCAGGACCAGAAGGCTCCAGCCGGGGGGACGGCCAAGAATGGGGCACTTTGCTGAGGGCTGGGGCAGCAGGTGAATGGCACCAGGGGGGGAGGTTTGGGAGGCTTTGCCGCAAAAACAACTAAGCGTAGAGAGCTGGGCCGCGAGTCTTTATTCACTGTCCTAGCAGGAGCCAAGAAGGGCTCCATGTACAGTGTTGACATATACACAGTGTTGACAGAAAAAAGACCTTACTTCTCCGGGGGGAAGGAAGGTATGAACTTCTGAATTTTCACTTTCAATAGGACCCGAGTTAGAGGAACTCAGCCACTTGCTTAGCTGCGCCTCCCTCTCCTGAAAGAACCTGAGACTTTCTGGGAAACGGGGACACCAGGGCTTCCTGCAGCACACCAAGCTCTAGATCTGTGGGGATTCGGGCTTCTTTTTCTGTCCTGGAGCTGCTTTCCCCTGATGGAAAGAGAAGCCCTGGGGTCCTTGAGGGTCAGGCCGTCTGCTGCCAGCTGAGGCATCCTGGGCTGCCTGTCGTTGCCAGAACCATCACCATGGGCCCCAGAAAGGAGTCCAGTCCCCAGTGCTCTCCTGGGGCCCATGGCGGCCCCTACATGAGCCTGTAGTCGGGGAGCTGGGAAAAGTGTAGAGATGCTACTGTCAGAGGCCCAGGCTGAGGACAGGAAGGGTGGGTGGTGCTGGCCGCAGATGGAAAGGCAGGTGAACAGACAGCTTCCAAGACCTGTGACACCGAGGATGCCTCAGGTTCCTCAGGAGTAGACCCGCCGCCCCAGAAGCCACCTAGCAAGGGCAGAATCTCCCATGACATCTCAGTCAATGTGTCTACCACTCAGATTCAAGCCCTGCCCCCTAGGTCACCACTGAACATTAGACATCTGGGTCTTGGGACTGGCCCTCTGGCAGGAAGACCTGAGGAGCTCACCCACTTATTCCAACAGCACTCAGACTGCAGGGGCACAAAGGGGCCAGAGAGAGAGAAAGACTTGAAGGACTCAGGGTTTCAGATCCTGGTTTAAGGGGCCGGCTTCCTGTACTAGCACGAGCTGCCGCTCCTACTCCAGGAAGTCCCGATGGGACTGAACTGGACTTGGGCCACTGACCTGAGGTCCACACACCCCAGCCCTGCATGTGCCTGAGCAGTCAGGGGCTGGGTTACATGGTTGCTTCTTAATTCCAAACTCCAGCCCAGCCAGGTCACCCTGAACTGTCTTCTGATATCAGTGAGGAAAATGAAACAGTCCTTTTTGTCCTGACTTTGGAGATTATTGCACAGGGCTCCCCAAGAGCCGAGAGTTAATCCTGATTCCCAGCAACCTCAGGTTGTTAGGAAAGAGGCCACATCCTCGTTTCAGTCTGCATTGTCATTGCTCAGACCTGGTTCTGGAAGGATCTTGGGGGTGAGGCGGGGTCCAGCTCCTGAGTTTGAGCTCTTGGGTTCATGTCTAGGCCATGACACTAGGGTCTGTGCTTCATCTCCCCATTTACATAGGGGGTGACAAAGGTGGTGCCTTATCAGGTGGCAGTGGAGAAGCAATGGCATCAGTGGTTAGCTCAGACCCTTGCTCCTTGTGGATGCTTAGGCCATGTCAGCCCTGTTATGTGCCCACCAGAAGCCTGGCCTGGGGGCTCTGTGAAGGCCCAGCTCAGGACCCTGGCCCGGGATCTATGAGATACACTGGCCTCGGCACTTGCAGGGACCAGGGAGCTGGTCAGGGTCCAGCCTGTGGGGAGGTGAGGGGATTTACTCCTGTAGGGGTGGTTTTTCTACTAAGTTAACATCACCTGGGTCTGAGGGAGAGGTAGGGGAACATTGTGACTATCCTTATGAGGAGATGGGACCCTCAGCACCAGGAAGCTGCCTGCTTCCTGCCATTCGCGATGATGACAGGGTAGTGCTAACTCAGAGGGGCCTGGCTTCACCCAGGAGGGAGCGGTGGGGATGCGGGGAGTGTGGGGGAGGCACCCTCTTGACAGCAGCCAGTGGTCTTTGGTCTGGGAGATCTGAGAGTTGGGATCCTGGAGCAGAGGATCGTGGCCTCCCAGAGGCCTCCAAGGCAAGGCCAGACCCAGCTCTGCAGCTCTAAAACACAAGCTTCTTGGGAACCTCCCATGGAAACTCGCTTCTTCCAAAATGGCCGTAGCACGCCGTCTTCTGGTAGATGGGCTTCTTCAAATCCAAATCCCTGTGTGTGCAGCAGAAGGAAGGGTCATTTCAATGGAAAAGGAACAGTTTCTTCCTCTGAATTTCAGGTGCACGAATAACAGCCTAGCACAGTCTGTGTGCGGAGTGTCACCACTCAGAGCAGTTTCCCATAAATGTCCTGTCTACACTACATGTCTGATGAGGTGACTGTCCCTTTCAAAGCAGGCTCAGAGGTTTAGGAACAGCTGATCAAGAGCCAGGATTGCACTCTAGCCTCGCAGTGCCATCTTCTGCACCCCACTGGCCTGGCCCGGACCAGCGTCAAGTTAGCCAACTCCAGAAAGCAGGGATGGCATTAGAAATGAGAAGAGATGGGAGTAGACTTGCTGACTGAATTCTGAGCCACTTAGCCTTATAATTATTTCCCTGAGACTCCTACCTGGGCCAGCAGGGATCTTATGCAGCCCCCTCAACCTAAACACCAGGCGTTCTGCACGTGGGGTGTGCACTGTGCTGGGCCAAGAGCTTGCAGATCCTCCTGCTTCTGGGAGGCTGCGCATCCTTGTTTGTCTTTCAGCTGAGCTGAGCGTGTCCTGCCTACAAGCATGGGGCGGCATATTTACCTGACAATGACGCCAGGCCGAAGGTCGAAGTTCTTATTTACCACATCCAGCAGCTCTCTCTCTGTCTTCTGAGACGTTCCATAGGTGAAGAGAGAAATGGACAGTGGTGTGGCCACACCAATAGCATAGGAAACCTTCCAAAAGAGACCAGGGTCAGGTACCAAAGCCTGTGAGCAGGGGCTGCCCCTCGCAGGAACCTGATGTCCTCAGGAAGGGCAGCTGGACCCACGCACCACACTCCTCTTGCCCAACACGCTCCCCCTACTGTCTGCCTAGAAGTCCCTGCCATCCTCACAGAGGGCAGTTTCTGTACATGGCCCTCTCCCTGAAGAATTCTGTTCCCTGTTCCAGGTGTTGAGGGTTCTGGCCACAATGCCCAACACAACACACAGAGTTGCATCCTCTGGTGAAATGCGTGGCCTTCCAGTCAGAGCTGGTGGGGTCAGTGGCATGGGGTGTGACCCACCTGTACAAGAACTCTCCGGCAGAGGCCTGCTTTCACCAGGGACTTAGCCACCCAGCGGGCGGCGTAGGCTGCAGAGCGGTCCACCTTGGTGTAGTCCTTCCCGGAGAAGGCCCCACCACCGTGCGCCCCCCAGCCACCATAGGTGTCCACAATAATCTTACGGCCAGTGACGCCCGCATCCCCCTGCAGAGAGAAAGGAAGAAACAGGGGAGATGAGAACCAGAGCCCCAAATGGCTGGGAGAAGGGGTGGAGGCACTGTGATGGCTGTTGGACTGCAGCTTGGAAATGGTACCCTGCAGCTGCCTGGGGGCATGTTTCAAGAATTCCTTGCCTAGGATACAGCCAGAAACCCTGAATCTAATTCAGATCAAGTCACTGACCAGCTACGGAAGCCAGGTAAGCTGTCAGAGTCTCATCAGAAAGTGCAAATAATGAGCCAGCTGAAGTCACAGCCAGTCCCCAATGCCTTTGTTTTTATGAGGCAATCATAGTGGAGAAATCCAACTGCAGAAGGAAATTGTGCTGTGATCAACACACCCTGGGCTGAGGCCTCGCTAGTGCCCCCCAGTAAGCACCATGCTGCCCATTTCCTTGTGTGTCTGCTCTGTGAACAGCAGTCACTGAAGATTCTTAAAAGGTGGTAGGGACTCTATGTTAAGTGATTTGAGGAAAGTGCATACTATACACCCCTGCTTAGAGATCACGTACACACTCATATTTCTAGCCTTTGAGAGGTGCTGTGAGAAAATACAATAAGCTTGCCCTTTCTTTCAACCTGTGTTTCTGCACTACATTTGGTCATAGGGCCGGTTATGGGGGTTTGCTCTGTGGCAACACAGCCACAGCCGAGGTCCCTGGCAGTGGTCAGCAGCCTTGCAGAGACGCTATGCCAATCTCCACTTCCTCACTCTGCGGGGCAGGAGAAAGGGGGCAGCAGGTGTCCACATAATAAACTGCCCCACCTTCGTGCCCACAGGAGCTGAAGGTGATCTGTGGCAGAGACCTGGTAAGCGCCACCTGGTAAAGGTCAGTCATTTGCAATGGTGAGTTAGCTCATTGGCAGGCGAGGCAGCAGCCACCTGGGCAAGTATGACATCAAGGATGGGCTGCCTGGGGTGGGAGGGCTGGGCAGCACCAGTGGGAGAATCTGGGGATATGTCCCCAGTTCCTCAGGTGCTGACAGGTACACAGCAAGCCTCACAGAGAGGGAGCTGACTTCATATTTCTCCCAAGGCCACACCTGGCTGAGTCACACCAAGCCCCCTCCTACAGTGTGTGCTTGGGGAGGTAGCAACCCCAGTAACAGACAAATCAGGGCTTCATCCCGAGACCAGGGCGCACCTGGGGACCACCAATGACGAAGCGCCCACTGGGCTGCAGGTGGTAGATGGTGTCTTTGTCCAGGTACTTGGCGGGCACCACGGCCTGGATCACCTTCTCCTGCAGGGCCTTGCGCATGTCCTCCAGTGTGATGTCCTCATTGTGCTGCACAGAGATGACGATGGTGTGGACGCGCACGGGGATGACCGCACCATTGTTCTGCACGTACTGAACTGTCACCTGTGGGTCAGAAGGGCCGGAGGAGACATCATGAGGCCCTGCCATGAGCTGAGGATGCACTGCGGCTAGGCACAGAGGTACCCAGGGCTCCCAGGAACCCAGAGGCCCTCCTGTCTTCAAAGGGCCTTCGGGAAAGTTCATCTGACACATTCTGGTATTTGAATAGTTGCCTAGTGCTGTGAAATGACTGGGCATGAGGCATAAGCTAGTCCCCCCTGTGAACACAATTAGTGCCACTTGGAGACTCGGGTTTATAGTTTCCTCTCTGTGACCCACTAGACTACTCTACTGCTATCTCAGAGGGTTCTGGGTACCACAAGTGCCCCCTGGCCAAAGCCCTCCCTTGAGCCTCTATGGCCCAGGGCCAAGCTATCTTAGCTCCTTCTAAGGACACAGGAGTCTACGGGCCACATGCGAGCTGCCCCAGCCTCTCAGTGGAGGAGCTCTGGAAGCATAAAGGGCCAGCAGACTTACTAGTTGTAGGGACAGAGTGAGAGGACCTCAGTCCAGGGTGACTGAGACAGAGGGAGCTGCCAGCTCTGAGTATTTGGGCAAATGAAAGGGAAGCAGAGAGTACCTTGAGGGATGGCACCTAACACAGAGACAGATCTAACATCACCAGCATGGGCCAGTCTGTGCCCATTCTGTGCATGATCACTTACGATTTAAGCCATTCCAGCAAGACAGGCATTGTTATCTCCACTTTACAATGAGAACAAGGCTATGAGAAGTGAAGCAACTTGTTTGAAGTCACATGCTAGTCAGTGAACAGCCAAATAGGGAACCCCTGCTCTGCTTGATCCAAAAGCCTGTGTCATCCCCACAGCAGCACAGACAAGATGCTTCTCCCTGACCCCCCAACCCCCATCCTGTACTGACACCTCAGTGAGCATAAGAGCCTGGTGTCACAGCCTGGTCTGACTGTACCAGAGGAGAGCAGCCTGGCACCCTGGGCTTGCGGAGTGAGAGGGAAGGAGATGGTGAGGATGGCAGACGAGGCTAGGAAAAGAAACTAGCATGGACTAAGCATGCACTATATGCCAGAAACCATGCCAAAAGCTGTGAGAAGCTGTTACCAGCCCCATTTTGAAGATAAGAAAGCTGAGGTCCAGAACACAAATTCCTTGGTGAGGGTCACACAGCCAGCAAAGCTGGGCTCTGACCTGGAGCTGTGTGGCCTGGTAGCTGGGGCTCTGCCCAGCAAAAAGCTGTAACTCAAGACCCTCAGGGCTATGCTGGAGCCACAGACCCTACTGCTACCCAATCAGGGTGAACCACAAGAGCAGAGCCTGGAGGGGCTGTGGAGTATGTGGGCCTGCAGGGTGCGGCCACACCGGGTGGCCCTGGTGGAGACACTGGCTGGCAGTCACAGCACTGCTTCCTACTCCAGGGCCTCACAGGGCAGCAGGCAGTGCCTTCCTGGGGCTGTGCCTACAGCAAGTCCCTGCCAGCCCAAGGCCCCTCAGATATCCATCCAGCACTGGACTTGTGTCAGACTCCTACTATGTGTCCTGCCTGGTCTAAAGAGCAACAGGATGGGGTCAGGAGAAGGACGAGAAAGACCCCTGCCCACATGATGCCTGATCCTTGTGAGATGGGCAGATGCACACCAACATCTGGGGCCTAGGAGCAACCCCGATCTGCTGTGCTGTGCACACTCAGGGCCCTGTGAGAGGGCTCACTGTGCTCCCAGAAGGGGAGGCCCTGTGGCTGGCTCTAGGACTAGATCTGCCCCTCGGGCCGCAGGAGAAGGCTCAGATCCTGAGGAGATGTGGAAGCCCGTCTCCACTGCTCCCCTGCTCCCCAAACTCCCCTTCTGCCTCAAGCCCCAAGCAGCATCCTTGCAAAACCACAGAACTGGGGCAGAGCACAGGGCTCCAAGCATGGCTCTTATCTCACTGTCAGGGGAAAACTACACCACAGAAAACACAACTCTGACCAGGTGGAAAAATAGCCCTCGTGCTGCCACTCAATTCTCCGTACCAGCAGGAGGAATTTGTTCAGGTGGAAAGACTCATCCTGTTCACAGTCAACATGAGTTAGAGAAGAAGGCCTGGCAGTGGGTCCTAGCACAGTGTCCCCCACCTTGCAGCAGCCTGTGGATCCAGGCGCCGGGAGGGCTCCGTCAGCGGACCCACGCCTGCACCCTCTCGGCTGCCAGCTGGCTCAGGGCGCCCGGGGCCAGGGAGCGAGGCCTACTCTGGTATCCAAAGTAGCATTTTTAAGAGAATTCAATGCATCCTTGTAGGAAGGGAAGCCCTGGACAAGCCCACCCCACCCCTACCCTCCCTGGCTGCCTTCTAGACGGGGAAGCCTCTCATTACTAAGCAGAAAGAAAGCCTTTCTCCTTCGGCTGTGCGGACAGGTGGAGCTTCAGCCCTCATCTCCCAGAAGGAAAAGGAAAGCCCAGTGGCTCCATCAGCTCCCGGAGGGGATTTCCTCCTGTGAATCTCTGCCCCACCGCACAGCGAAATAATATGGGTCAAGCAAAGATTTCAGAAGGGCAGGCAGAAAGACCATAAAAGGCTCTGAATGTCCAAATAACAAGGGGGGTTCCCCCTCCCCTGTAGGAAGCAGAAGTTGTAGAAGACTCTGAGCAGATATTAGGAAATTAAAAGTGAAGCCCAAAGGAAATTAACTGGGGTTTCCTGGCAGGAAAAACCCTTGGATGGGCCCTGGCCTGGGAAATGGGCTGGAGCAGAGGGGTGCTTGGCTGGGAGAGGTGGAGAGCAGGCAGAGGGGAGATGGAGGGCGCTGAGCAGAACTGGGGAGAGGTGGGGCTCCATCGCCCTCCCTTCAGCCAAGGGGACAGTGAAGCGGCACACGGGGTCTCTTGGGCACTGTTGTTTGCAGGGTAAATGAACAGTGGGGCTGGAGGTTTAGAGAGAACTACAGGTAGAAGATTTGGGCGCTGAATGAGCCAAGGGGAAAGCTGGATCCACTAGCTCGGGTAGAAGGGGAGAGAGTGTGGAGGAAGCGCCAAGAACCTGCTGGAATGTGAACGAGGAGCCATGGAAGGAAGCCCTAGGGAAAGGAGCCATCTGGACCACCAGGGTTAAACAGGGCAGGATCTGGACAGTGAGGATAGACAGGCCTCCAGGGGTGCGAACATTTGCATCGCCACTGGCCCTCAAATATAGTGGGGATTCCAACTCCGCAGAGGGCACAGTGGTCAGGGCCCAAGGCAAGACAGAGACAGCAAAGATGAAGTGTTTTTAAGAGAAAGAAAGAAAAGGGCCCAGGCAGATGCAGACAATCCTCGCTCAGGGGGCGCGCAGGCCCTGCTCAAGATGTAGAAACCTGTCTTTGTGGCACGGCAGTGACCAAAAGTTTGAAACCAGTTCAGAAGTTTGTGGCAGGAATTGGGGAATCATGTTACTAGAGTCAACCTATGCTAAGAAGGCAAAATAAAATAAAATCTAAAAGAAATTCTTTTCATTTTCTGGTACTTTTGAAAATTTTCATAATAATATGAGGGGAGAAAACATGTAGAGGTGAAGAGTTTTCAAATAAATAGCCCTTTTCAAAATCAACAATTCTTTGAGTGTGCGGGCTGAACATGTTGATCCGAGCAGCAAGCATGAGGGGGCTTGGGGTGCTTAAAGCGTGCGCCTGGAACTCCCATGGAGGTGAAGGGAGGGACTCGCCTGCGTCTTGGAGTCGGGCCTCAGCCAGGGCAGCGCCCCCGAGCGCCTCAGCTCTGCCATGCGCGCGTTGAGTTTGTGGGCGAGCACGATGGTGAGGGGCATGCACTCTTCCGTCTCATCGGTAGCGTAGCCGAACATCAAGCCCTGTGGTGGGGGACAGAGCCGGCTGAGCAACACACGCTTAGGACATGGGACGACGTGCTTCAAGTCTAAAACTGCCCTCCCCCCGATCTTGGGGGCCTCATGCATGCAACATTCACACTGGGCACTTGTGGAGGGGAAGGCACGGTCCCCGATGCCCAACACTCTAGTGGGGGGGACCAGCCCAAATCGGCATCGGTGATCACAGCTTCACAGCTGGGGGCCCTCTAGTCCCTGCCCTGAAGTAGGGGCGGGCGTGCAGCTTCCTCTAAGCACAGACCTCCCCGTGACCCTCTAGGATGAAGGTCAGTCCACAGTGTGATTAACCAGCTCTTCAGGACCTTCCCCAGCGAGCTCCTCAACACGTCTGAGCAGGGTAGAGGGGCGGCACTGCCCCAGCGTGGCAACCCAGCACGCACCTCAGCTCTCAGTTACCTGATCTCCAGCACCAACATCCTCTTCGTTCCTGCCTAGGTGAACAGACTGGGCAATATCTGGGGACTGTTGCTCCAAAGCCACCAGCACATTGCAGGTCTTGAAGTCAAAGCCTAGGCAGAAGGGAAGGCAGGCCTGAGTGGGAACACACGTCAGACACAGGGTGGCTGCGAGCTTCCCGGGGGACTTCAGTTCCTGACATGCGTTTAGTGCCGCATGGGTGGCCTCTGGTTAGCTGGGACCTGTCTGGTCCCGGAGCCAATGCCCAGAATGTGGGCACATATGGTAAGGCCACATATCCTTACCATCATGTCAAGCTCTTTAGTCAAAGACAATCCTGCACTGTCACTTTACTGTATTAAACTACAGCTTGATCAGAAATACACTTTGTGCATGGAACTGCTCTACACAAAGCAGGTAACGGCTCCAGCTGCTCCGCTGAGGCACAGGTGGGTGGCTCATGGCCCTGCCCCGCTGGCCTCTCCCAGAGGCACCTTCCAGAACCCAGGCTGAAATCACCACACTGAGCAAAAACCCAGGGCCCTGCCAACACTGCCATCCCGAAGCCAGAGATGGGCCTAATCCAAGTACAGACGGTCCTCAAGTTGGGATTTTTTGACTTTACAATGTTGCCAAAGTGATACGCTTTTAATAGAAACCATACTTCAAATTTTGAATTTTGATCTTTCCCTGGGCTATTGATATTCAGTACGATACTCTCTCAAAATGTTGGTCAGCGGCAGCAAGCCTCAGCCCTAGGCAGCCAGCCACGTGATCATGAGGGTCAACAACCCACACTGTACAGTGTAGTCACTGTGTTAGATGATTTGCCCAACTGTGGGCTAGTGTAAGGGTTCTGAACACGTGTCGGGCAAGCTAGGCTAACTGCGATGTTCATAGGTTAGGTGTATTAAATGCATTTTTGGCCTATGATATTTTCAACTTACAATGGGTTTACCAGGACGTTACCCCATTGTAATTCGAGGAGCATGTGTATTAAACACACTGAACAAATAAAGTGTACATGAACTATTGGAGATAGGCTTCCAGAGCCAGAGTCCTCTCATCCTGAGATGTGATCCTGAGGGCTGGGAGCCAAAGGGGAAAAGCCCCATCTCTGGGGGCTGAGGCCCCATCTGCCCTTCCCTGCAGCTCAGGCACAGAGGTGGAAGCTGGTCTGCCTCAGACCAGGTGCTACAGGCTGGGGCCTGAGCCAGGGGAGTCTGGGCTCACAGCAGCCCAGCCCGAGAAGCCCCAAAGAGCACTGTGCACAAAGCAGGCCTTCTCCCTGCTGGTCCTCCCGTGCGCAGGCCTCAGCTCAGGGATTGTGTGAATGGGGGGCTACAGCAAACAGGGGCCCCACCACAGGGTCAGGCACTAGTGACAAGCTGACTGTCACCCTCTTTCCAGTCTATTCCCCCATCCACGCTGCCAGAGCAGGCTAACTAAAGCAACTGACAAACTCAGATCCAATCTATCATTATGTACATACTTCAAGTGAGGACGCCAAATGAAGTGACATGGAGCTCAGTTCCACCCAGCCCCAGCCAGGGGAACTCCTTTAGCCAACATGAACTCGGGTTTAGCTTTAAAGACGACATACTCTTCCACGTCCACTGGGTCTCTCTGCCTGGACTGTCCCTCCTCTGACCCCATCCCCACACACCCGAATCAGACAGCTCTCAGTCAACATCCCTGGACCCAGCAGCTCCTCCTTGCTCACTGTGCCAGCGACTCCCTGCTGGGCACCTCAGCTGCATCAGCTGATGCCAGGCAGTGCTGCCATTCCGGGGGCATCAAGTCACCCGTGTCTTATGCTGCCTCCTGGTCCCAGTGAATGCTTTTGAAGGCACCAACCAGTGAACAACCTTTAGAGAGCTGCCAAGGACTCACCAGTTTTGCATTAAACATTTTACATTTTGCCTGATCACTGTCTAAATAACGAATCTTCTTAATGCTGAAAATCAATCATGGGCTTCACGTGACTTGGAAAAATGGAGTGGCTCTCTTTCTTATAAAGGTGCAGCAGGTCATCCTAGCCTGCTCTGACCCACAAAGATGCCGCACATCAGCCTAAACAACCAGTAAGTGGGACATTAGCATGCACAGGCCCTCAGCATCTGGCCCTCACCCCGGTCCTTTAATGCCCCACCAGGCGGGGCCCCTTCCTGGCCTGCTCACTGCAGGGCCCACATCAGTTCTTTCCAGCTCTCACCCGCGCCTGATCACAGCGCTCCTGATGACAGCGCTCCTTGTCCACTCCTGCCAGGGCCCGTGCCCCTTCCCTGGGTTTTAGGCTCCTACACTGCCTGTCACTGGGGCCAACCTGGGCCAGCCTGCCTCCTTCGCCTGCTCTCAGGGCCAGTTCTGAACTAAGTCATCTTCTTGTCTATAATGGGAAGCAGCAGAGTTCAGCAGAAAGCACAGGGGTCCCAAATGGGCCAGCCACACACAGGTTGTGTCACCTTATATACATTATTTACATCTTGAAGCCTCCATCTCATCTGCATAAGAAGTAGAGCAGAGCGCCTCACCCAGCTAAGTAAGATGACACATACAAAGAGACCAGCACCAGCGCCCAGCAGAGGACAGGACCCAACAGAGGGCAGCTCCTTTCACTCGAAGCCTCTTTCTCTTCCAACGCTCTGGGAAGTCAGGACATTACACAAGACCAGGGATAACGGTGGATGGACACAGGCTGGCTCAGTGGGGCGCCACCACCTGGGCTCCCATACTGCTCCCAGGCTTGACCCCTGGTCCCTGACAGGTGGACCTAGGACTGTTTTCCCCCTGGTGGCATGTGCACCAGAAGACTGAGAACCTCTGATGTGACTCAGTATCAGGGGCTCTCTCAGCAGAGACCCGGGGCCCTGCCCTTACCCTTGGCAGAGTCGTCATAGCCAATGTGCTTGATGGTGTCTCTCACCACCCGCTGGTAGTCCACCGTGGCCATGGAGGTGATCTCCCCGCACAGCAGCACCATGCCCGTCTTACACACTGTCTCTGGAAGGGAGGGAGGAAAGGGTGTGGCCACGCGCCAGCACAGGGCAGCTCAGTGGCTAGACCTCTCCCAGTGCTGAGAGAGGCTCACAGGAACATTACCAGACAGCAAATAACAATGTCAATAAAAAGAGTAAATTCCTTGCCTGGCCAGCGGGCTCAGTGGTTGAGCACTGACCTATGATCCAGGAAATCGTGGTTCGATTCCAGTCAGGGCACAGGCCCGGGTTGCAGGCTCGATCCCCAGCAGGGGCTTCCAGGAGGCAGAAAATCAATGACTCTTTCATCATTGATGTTTCTGTCTCTCTCTCTCCCTTTCCCTTCCTGTCTCTGAAATCAATAAAAATATATATATTTTAAAAAGAGTAAATTCTAGCACAGTTGCTGACCATCTTCTAATGCCCCAAAGAACTACATTTGGGAAAGAATTACACCTGAGTTTTCTTACCAAGTACTTACTGCTCATGTGATCTTGAACTACCTATTTAGCCTCTCTATGTCTGTTTCCTCAACTTAGTCAGATGAAGATAATATTAAGACTGCTGTGTGGACTAAAATGAGACGACGACTGTATGTAGTTATAAAGAATGTGTGAAGCACTCCCGCCCCTCTCTGCTAAAACTCCACTGCAGGCTTTAGGGAGTGGGATCCTGAACAAAGAGTCCAGAAGGCCAAGCTTCTCCCCAATTATTTACAAGATGTCGGGGTGAAACCTACCCTCAGAGGGGCCCGGGGCCCTGCAGTCCTCAGTATAGGGGTCAGGGTGGCACTGGAGAGGGAAAGATTGGTCTGTGCAGCAGACAGGTCAGGGTGGGAACAGTGAGGACAGTGGGACTGTGGTCTTCATGGTGGGCACGCCTACCCTGTGACCTTGGCCAAGGCCCTGCTTTGGCTATACCCACTATCCCCTAGTAAAGTGAGAGGCCTAGACCTAATCACCTCTGGGACCCTCCTGACTCTCTGCTATGATGAGGGTCTCAACACAGACAAAGGGTTCAGGATCAGCGACTTAGGTCACCTGCAGGAAGGGCCCAGGTGTTTCTTACCACAGGCCACCTTGGCATTGGGGTCCTGCTGGAGGTGGGCATCTAGCACGGCATCACTGATCTGGTCACAGATCTTATCTGGAAAAGAATGAACACATGACACAATCACAGAAATATTAGGTACAACAAACTGAAATGTTTAAAGAATCAGATATTTTGTCAGTTTACATGTCAAATCTACCTAAGAGGGCAATTTTTTAAATATTAGAAGCTAGAAATTTTTGAAATTTTTATTTCTTCCCATTTCTGCCTAATTTTGTATGATGTATAAAGTCATAGAATTCCCTTAAAAAGAAATATTCCAAAACCATTTCTAAGAGTCTACAGCAATTTACACACACACACACACACACACACACACACATTCTTCTAACTAAAAAGTCTCTCATTCTTCAATATATTCCCTTTCATTCTAACATCTAGAAAAATCCTGGATATAGAAATTAAAATAGCTAATAACAATAGTGAGATTAGGTGCCAAGGTGTAAAATCAGAAGAGACAAACAGATGCATTGTACTGCAGGATCCATAAGATGCAACGCACTGTGTATAAAACACCACGCCCAGTCCCACGACTCCACCCATAAGGGCTCTATAAGAGAAGCTCTGTACATCATGGCTGTTTTGCAGAACATTTCCACAAGCAGCTCTTGGGTCCTTTCCACAGTCACTCAGCATCCTAAAGGCTAGATGTTCTAATAGCTGGGTTTGACCTCCTCGGTCAAGGTGTGACTGAAAGGGCTCAACATGAGCTGGTATTTGACCTTATTCTGTGTTTGCCTGAAAGGCTCTACATGGTTGAGTATGTAGACCACTAAATGGCACTGTGGAAAAATCTACTCTTGCTTTGGGGTCATGTGAACTGTCAATGTTCACGAATTCAGAAATAAAAGTGACACCTATTTACACATATTACGTCTCATTTAGTGTTCAAAATATCCATAGAATCTGCTCTTAATAAATTATTATGAATTTTTTCCAGTTTTATTGAGATACAATTGGTCTATTAAAATTTTGCATACAATTAATGTATACAACTTGGTGAGTCTGGACATACATATACACATGTGTTTCCATTATCACATCATGGTAATAAACATATCTATCACCTCCAAGTTTATTTATGTTTCTCTTATTTTTTAAAAAGTTTTTAAATTAAGAATTTGGATCCGGAATCAAGCAGTTCTACTCTCAAAAGCACATATTAAGTTCTGTAATTAAAAATGTTAATTTGTCATTACAGGTAAATTCCCCAATTTTTCCTAAGAAAGTGGTATTAAACATATGTTTGAACCTAGAAGGCGTTATGCTAAGTGAAGTAAGTCAGACAGAGAAAGGCAAATACCCCATGATTTCAATAATATGTGGAATCTAAAAAACAAGACAAACAAAACAGAAACAAACTCAGATACAGAGAACAAACTGATCGTTGCCAGATGGGAGGGGGGTTAGGGTGCTGGGTCAAAAAGGGGTAGATATTAGGAGGTACAAATTGGTAGTTACAGAATAGCCACGGGGATGTGAAGGACAGCACAGGGAATGTAGTCAATAATATTGTAATAACTGTGTGTGGTGTCAGATGGGTACCGGACTTATTGGGGTGATCACTTCGTAAGTTATATAAGTGTCTAACCACTATGCTGTACACTTGAAACTAATATAATACTGAAAGTCAACTTAATTTAAAAAAATTTTAAAACGCAAACACACACACACATGTTTGCTCTTTCCTGGCAGATCTGGATGTAAATCTAAGTCTGTCTGCATCCATGGCCTGTGCACACCCCTTCCGATGAAGGTCTCCTGCTGCTCAAATATCCACTTTAGGCTACACATCAGGACTCTTAGGAGCTGATCATGATGACTCTGCTTCTTTAAAGGACGTAAGTCACAAGTTGCCAATGCACACAGGGAAAAGGGATATTAGGGATGAAGCGGGAGGTGTGCAAGGGTATTGAGATAGCTTGGCAGGCTAAGATAACATCTAAGGGGCCCTTCAAAACTGTTTCTTCGGGCTTTGGAAATTTTTATCGTTATCACTTAGCAGCCTTAAGACAGCCAATAGTTGGTTTTGTTGGAAGTTGGAAACGAAGCATTAATTTGATCTTTCTGGCAGAGAGGAATTTAGCACTGGAATAACACGAAGAAAGTCACCAAGCCTTAGTGGAAAACTGACTGACTTACATGGACAGTTAATTTTTAGTAGCAAGCGAAAGGAGAATTGGACAAACTGAAGTCTGCCATTCAGTAGGCAAAACCACCAACTGATAGGCTGGAATTTTCCTTCTCTGTCCATTGGGCACATTGTTGTGTGTACGATGGGACACTGGCCACTGCTTGCCAAAGCATCCGCTTCCTCCAGGCGGAGCAAATCCTAACCTCTGTATGGCCTTATCTAAAAGCCAGGGAGCTGTCCAGAATCTGCCAGACAGCAAGGGAGCTGAGACTATGAGTACAGCAAACCTAGAAACTTTATAAAATTATGCGTAATACAAGAGACTATTTACATTGAATTGATCTTAGATACACACAAAACCCAAGGTTTCTCAACAGCGGGACTGGGAAATTCTTCTTTGTGGGGAGATGGTCTCGTGTATGCAGGATGTTTAGAAACATGTCGGTTCTCTGTCCATTAAATGGCTGTATCAACCTCCCTCCCCCATTGTTGTGACAACACCAAATTTTTCCAGACATTTTGAAATGCCCTTGGGGTAAAGGGGACAAAATTGCCCCCGCTTGAGAACCGCTGGCTAAAGCACACGGAATGAGCCATGTATTGAGATGTCTACAGCTGAGTTACAAGGTACGAGAGTTAAATCTCTTTGAGAAAGGACAAGAGTGATGAAGAAAAAACGAGCAGATGTGGTGACAAGTTACCAAAACCTTCAGCTACTCAAATGAATTTGGAAGAGGTGCTTAAGGACATAAACCAGGGTGTCTACCCCTAGCGTTTCCCTAGAACTATGGTTCTCAAAGTGTGGTTCCCACACCAACAGCAGCAGCATCTCCTGGGAACTTATTAAAAATGCAAATTCTTTTTTTCAGTGGTTTATTTGAGCCCAAACTGACAGTTGTCAATTTTAAAACGCTCCTAAAAACCCAAATTCTTGAGTCTCACCCAAAACCTATAAATCAGAAAGTTCGGGGGCGAGGCCCAACACTCTGCATTTTATCCTGAAGTTTGAGAACCACTCTTGTAAAAGTTGAGGCTCCGATCATGTCTTTATTGTCACCATGGAAGCCCCTTGTTTCCCCACATCACAGTCCACCTACCTTTCGGGTACCAAAGAAGTGCTTGCATTTCCTTCCTCTCCAAGGAGCCCTCTGTATTTCTCTTTTATAACGTGCCTGAGACTCCCAGAACCCAGAGCTCTACCTCAGCACCCATGAGGACGCACTGCTGTGCATTTCTAAACTACACAACTGCCTTACACGAAAAACTCAGTGACCCACGGCCTTGTTTGAGGGAACATTTTCTGTTGACTTAAGCTGCTCATTGATAATAAATTAAAGATTTACTAAAAAAAATATATATAGAATGTTTGTATCTGATGAAACACTTCACGTCCGTGATTATCCTTGGACACCCAGCTGCGTGTTCTCTGCCACAGCCCCACCAAAGCTAAGGGGCCGGTGGCCGCGGCAGCATGAATCCTCAGCGTCATTACCTTACAATTTATCACTGGTGTATGATGATCTGTTTTACAAAACTACCAATAGAGTAAAACATACTTCATATTGTTCTTCCAGAGATCCCTTGGAGTAACTAACACAAATCGTTTTAAGATCTCTAGTAAAAATGACTCCCTCTGTACAGGTCACCATCGGTCCAGTACAACCTCCTTACCTGGGTGTCCCTCTCCGACAGATTCCGATGTGAACATGAAGGCTCCTTCATTTATGGAATTGTCATACAAGCCATCTACTGGGCCGTTCATCTTCACGCTCCTCCACTCAGCTTCAAGGCAACAATTTTAACGCTGCAACTTTGACTGAGTTTTTTTTTCTTTTTCTTTTTCTTTTCTTTTTTTTAAATATATTTTTTAACTCAACAGGCTTGCCTTTGGCAGAAGCACAGGTATCACTTCTGCCTAAATGCCTGTCAGCATTCGAGAGGCTGAATGGACTTGCTCCTGAGTGACTCCTATATATGGAGCAGTGAAAGTGCCTGCATAATCATGTGAGAAAATTGGAGGAGTCCATTTCCTGGGAGGGGGGTCACCTTACCTTTCTATCTGTAGTTCTGATTTCCCAAGCCCTGGGCATCTGGTCAGTGTATGGGAAAGAAGGCTGCATAGGTTCTGCAGAGCTGAAGCTCCTTAGGCCCTCTGCTTTGGCTCTGCAGCTCATCTCCACATTGCTCCAAGGTCAACATCCCACCTTGGAGAGTGGGGAGCCATGGTTGCTCAGGGGTACAAATAGTCAGCAAGAAACTCTTTTTCCAGAGATATGGTTTAGGCTAAGATTGCAACATAGGGTGGCCTTTGCTGTTGGGTGCTCCCCCTCCTCCCCCACACCCTGTCTGGATTGGGCTCTTCCCCTTCAGCCACCTTCTCACAGCAAGAGCATGCACCTGTACTCAGTCAGCTTGGATGTTACACAACAGATTCATTTTAGAGGAAAAGCTTTTGAGTTCACACTTTTCTGCTAACAGAAATCACCTAAACTGTCAACTTCTCTAAGAAGCTGGCAATCACATTCAGAAGCAAGATGTTTAAAAAGAACCTGGAATTCTTTTGGGGAAGGGCTCTTGAGAGAGACAAATTCATTACAGGGAAATTGTCAGAGTTCCATTTCCCAAAGCTTCCAGATGTTAAGTTAAACATCTACACGTTCAGCCCTATACACTGGACAAACATCCTGCTCACCTAACTCCTGCATTATTTTTGCTTTGACCAAGAGAAGCAATAAACAGGGGTATACCTTTAACCAATTCATGCACTAAATGACAGCATTTCTCCCTTCATTTTCTCCCACTCTCAGATCTAGCTGCATCCACAGGCCCTAGGATCAATAGGGAATTGAGGTCATGGAAAATGAGAATGGGTGGAGAAACCACTAGAAAGCAATAAAAAATAATCGACCCAAACCTGATGCATCAAAGGCTGGACTGTAGGAAGCAAAAGGTAGGAAGTAATAATTTCAGCTAACAATTCTGGTGACCCAATCCCCCCTGTACTTATGAGCACTGAAAGGTTTTTTTCTGGGGATCCAAATCCTGAGTTTTGCCAATTGATCAGCAGTAACAGCATTACCCCTCCAGGCGATTAAAATCATATTGAAGTGACCTCTTCAGAGGTAAAGTAAGAGAATTTACATATATCAGAGGCATTTAATCAGAGGCATTTAACAGTGAGTGAGCTGGAAGGCTCGGGCACAGACTGCTGAAAGTTCAGAGAGGAAAACACCCTGAGATGGGATGGGAAAAACGACGGATCGAATAGGGACTTTAGACGAGATAGCCTGGAATTCTCCTGTTTGCACTTAAACTGTTTCAACATCGCTCTCCCTTTGTACATCTCTGCTGCGTACATCGGTTCCCAACCTGGAGGCAGTAGGAGCTAATGTTTAATGTGAACTGCAGATGGAGGTCGCCCTGGCGGTCAGAACTGTCACCATTATGTTATGTATGTGCTTTAGGAACAAGATGAAGTTTCTGCATCAAGTCCTCATAGGAAGGAGCCTGCGAACAAAGCGGTCTAACTGCCCTCTGAGCCCAAAGGGAGTGGCGTCATGGGGTCCTGGCTGGGGTGGGGGTGCTCTGTACAGAGAAGTGGCACTGCAAGAGGTTGTTGCGGCCTCGACACAAACTCAGAGGGAAGGATCTGGAAGACATCTAGCTCAGTGCCTGTCTCATATGACATCCCCACTAATAAACCCTGGGCCACCTTATGATCCTTCAGCAGATACATGGTAACAAGAGGCACATCAGCGTGGTGGCTGGGAGGGCAGGCTGCAGGCTGGAGGCTCAGTTTTGCTTCTAACCAACCTACTACACACCCTGGGCAGGCTCTGTAACCTTCCCAGGCTGCTGTTTCCTCATCTGTAAAGCACTTAAACAATTACCTACCTCACAGTGTTGAGAACTAAATGATGTCATTTAGGCATGTGAGTAACGAGCATAGTGCTGCACACAATAGGAGTTTGACGAATATTACCTAATATTTTTAAGTGCCTCCTATGTACATGTACATGATTTTCTCCTGAACAAAAATAGATCGTCACATACAAGCATACCTCGGGGATTCGGTACGTGGGATCCTAGACCACCCACCACTGTCGCGATAAGGCAAGTATCGCAATAAAGCGAGCCATAATCTTTTCACTGGTAGAGGGTCTTGCCTCCAATTTGTAAAAAATGCAACAGACTGTGAAGCACAGTAAAGCAAAATGCAACATGTTGTTTTGCATCCTGCTCTTTTTTTCNGTAAAGCAAAATACAACATGTTGTTTTGCATCCTGCTCTTTTTTTCCACAGCGTACTACGGTCCTCTTCACATCTCTACAGACAGACAGACAGACTGCATTTTTTGCATTGCACGGTAACCTACAGTCAGATGTACCATAGTCACTGAACCACACAGTCCCTGATGGCTATTTTCAACCTCTCTGTGTAGAGAAGACTCAGTGCTTGGCATGCTTCTGTAAAAAGATAAAATGCGAGGCCCTGCCAGCACTGGACTAGCCCAAAGATTGCCATTTTGTAATAAATTTTACCAGTTGGATAAAAGAAATAGCACTTCAACCAAGAGTTGAAATCATAGTTTCTATCTGCCCCCTTCAGCAGCTCTTGGCAAAGATGTACTTACTTAGAGCTGAAACCACAAGGCCTGCATAGCCCTAATTTGTGATCGTAAATTCAAATGAAAGCCTCCCTGACGCACAAACTGTCCTGTTCTCCCTTACGTATGAATTTTCCCAATGCCACCCCCAGCCACACCGAGGACCTAAGTCCAATCCAAAGTGTCAAAGGCCTGCAGTTGATCGCACTTCTATGCAGCAACCTTCAGCTCTGAATCTTCGCCAACTAGCCTCTGAGGAAACTTAGCTTTGAAAACAAATCTCACTTTCAGTCAGATTTAACCCGATGGGCCTCTGAATGTAAAATCCCAGAGGGAAGACCATGTTTCCAAAAAGCAGCGTGTGCAAGCCACACTGAGCAGTTTCATGAAAGGTTTCTGAGGGCCCCTGACCCCCAGTAATACTGTGCGCAGCAGAACTAGTGGGCGGCACCTCGCCGATGGTGCCCTTCTCTGACCCCCGCATTCCCACGCCTGACGGCTATGCCACAGGCAGGAAAGGAGCAGTTCTGATGACCTAAAACTCTGGATGCAAAAGTGGAGTGTGCATCCACCTCTTAAATGCTGTTTAAGTGAAAATATCTCTAATTTTCGGCAAGAAGCTCCTGTAACTTAAATGGTATCACACCACATGAAATATTTTCAAGAAATTTATGTCTTTGCTTTCATTAATTTAAAAAAATTTTTTTTATTGATTTCAGAGAGAAAGAGATAGAAACACCAATGGTGAGAGACAGTCACTGATTCACTGCCTCCTACATGCCCCCCCTGGGGATCAAGCCCGCAACTCGGGCATGTGCCCTGACCGGGAGTCGAACTGTGTGATCTCCTGGATCCTAGGCCAATGCTCAACCGCTGAGCCATGCCAGTCAGGAAGCCCTCATTAATTTAAGCACAACCTTTCCCCCCATATATTATCCTGGAACATAAATTGCTTCTTATTTATGAAAGAAATATAAAATCGATTCACACAGTACATTTTTAAAAAATTTAGGTAATTTCAGCAATATGTCATCTTCATTCAGTTAAAAGTCCAAATAAGCACCCCCTATGCAACAGCTACTCAGAAAAAGAATAAAGAAATGTGAATGGCTTCATGGAGAAAGCTGAGCCCAAAGGAGTTACAGGATCTTTTTTTTTTTAACAATAGTTCATTAATTTTTAGATAGGGAGGAAGGGAGAAGAAAGAAACATCAATGTGAGAGCAAAACATCAATCGGCTGCCTCCCGCACCCCTCCCCCCGCCCCACTGAGGATCGAACCCGCAACCTGGGCCTGTGCCCTGACCAGGGATCAAACCAGCAACCTTTCAGTGCACAAGATGACACCCAACTAACGGAGCCACACTGGCCAGGGAAAAAAATCACAGGATCTTAAAAGGCAGCAGGGAACAGGAAGGCTCAGTGGGGGTGGGGGATAACCGGGCAGGGAGGTGGAGGGCTGGAAAGCCGGACAAGCCAGGAGCTGGGATCAGGGCAGTGAGTAGCCCTGCAGAGGCAATAAAACGAGAGTTTCTGCTTGATAGGAAAACCCAAGCTAGACTAGAGGAAGAAGATTCCAAAATCAGAGACCAGAGTTAAAACTCTTCTTGATCCCAAAGTAACCTGAAGAGGAACAGACTCTGAGGCACTCATATAACGCAAATCCCTAGGTGCAAACTCATGTGCACGTGGAACATTCTTCACAATAGACCACGTATTTATTAGGTGACAAAACAACTCTCAATAAATGGAGAATATTGAAATTATACAAAGTATCGTTTTTTACAACAGTGGAACAAAGCTGGAAATCAGTAATGAAAGGAGAGCTAGATAATCTACAAATATGTGGAAATTACCTACACTCTTGTACAAAAGTGGACCGAAAAGAAATAACAAGTGAAATCAGAAAATACTCTGAGATGAAGGAAAATTACAACAAAATATATCAAAACTTATGGTATGCAGCAAAAGCAGTGCTCAGAGGGAACTTTATAGCTATAAGTGCTTATATTTAAAAAAGAAAAATTCCAAGTCAATAAACTAATTTTATACCTTAATTACCTAGAAAAAGAGCATGTTAAACCCAAAGCTAGAAAAGGAAGGAAATAATAAAAATTACAGCAGAGATAAGTGAAATATAGAAGAGAGAAACAAAACAATCAACAAGGTAAAAAGTTGGTTCTTCAAAAAAATCAGCAAAACTGATAAATGTGAGGTTGATGGAACAAAAGATAGCAAAGAGAGAAGACTGAAATTATTAACACAAGAAATAAAAGTG